GTTTATTGCCATGGACAACTTCCTTCTGGCTGTGATGGCCTATGATCGCTTTGTTGCTGTATGCCACCCCTTACACTACACAACAAAGATGACCCATCAGCTCTGTGCCCTGATGGTCACTGGGTCTTGGGGCATTGCCAATGTGAATGCTCTGTTGCATACCCTGCTGATGGCTCGACTCTCATTCTGTGCAGACAACAAAATCCCACATTTCTTCTGTGATATGACTCCTCTCTTGAAACTCTCCTGCTCAGACACACACATCAATGACCTGATGATTCTTATTGCGGGGGGTATGGTAATAACAATCCCATTGGTTTGCATCCTGGTTTCCTACATTTGTATCACCACTGCTGTCCTGAGAATCCCATCCACAAAGGGCAAGTGGAAAACCTTCTCCACCTGTGGCTCCCACCTGGCTGTTGTGTCCCTCTTCTATGGCACCATCTTTGCTGTGTATTTCAGCCCATCAGCCACCCACTCAGCTGAGAATGACATTGCAGCTGCTGTGATGTACACGGTGGTGACCCCCATGCTGAACCCTTTCATCTACAGCCTCAGGAACAAGGACATGAAAGGGGCCCTAACAAAAGTAATCTATATTCTTTTCTTTTCTTTTCAACAACAAATGGGTTCTAAATGTCATAAAGGCATGTCATAATTGCAATAAAAACTTTTTTTTCTTTCCCTAGTCTCTGGTACTTAGCTGTTGTCCATCCATGTATTTGTTGAGGAAGCATAAGAGTCAGTGTTTCCCAAAGTGAGTGATATTTCTCTCTGGAGCTCAGGAATTTTCCAGGGGGATGCAAAAGTCTATTCCTTAAACTTACCTGGATTGTGGGCTATTGTACAAAAAGGCTTTCGTTGTCAGTAATTTCATTGTTCAGTAATTATTTTTTCTTGAAACAGAGGCAGTGGACTAAAATATTTGGGAACATATGGAAGTGAAAGAAGTGAAGACAAATTCTTTTATTGACTAATGTGACTAGTCCAACTGTTAATAGTCTCCAGCTCAAACTACCAGAACATACCAGTAGCTTATCCGGCTCATTGCTCAATTCATGAAGGACTGCATTCATCGGAGAACTTCCCAGTCTAAGGGTGTTAGAAAGATCTTCCAGAATTTGAGCATTAGCTGATTTTGGTGAGGGTTGTTGTGATCTGGATTTGACGTTGGCAGAAGGTAGTGGCAGTACTTATTGGGATAGCAATAGCTTATTTAGACAGCAGGAAGACTAGAGAGAAGTGAAAGCTATAATTAGTAAGGAGTAAGTTGTCACCCATATCAGTCAGAATGGGTGATACTTTGTCATTTCTGTAGCTTGAACAATGTTTATGTTTTTGTCTATGTCCAGATATGACTATAGAGCTTTATGGGGGTCTAGCTCCATCATGGTCACTTTGTTTGATACTGATGTCCCATAAACGTCTCTACGTTCAATGAGGGAAGGGTCCATTGAAGGCTCTGTTGTTGTTAGTTTCTTTCCAGTCAGTTGAAACTCATGCCGACCCCATGTACAACTGAACAAAGCACTGCCTGGTCTCAGGTCCCCCTCACACGGTTATCTGTGAGCCCATGGTTGCCACCACTCTGCCCATCCATCTACTTGAGCACGATCCTGTTTGTCACTGTTCCTGGACTGCAGCAAGCATAATGTCATAGCTATCCCATTTCATTTAGTAAACTACCATAGTGCTATATAATTTCCACAATGTTTATCTTACTGTCTGTCTATTGATTTCAATTAGGCTCCTTTGGAAAATACTTTGAGCAGTCATTTTGTTTGTGTATTAACAATACATGGAACTTGGATGTGACCTGAAACTTATTTTGAAAACAATTGCCTTGTAGAGCCCAATATACTCATGAAGGATGTCTTTGAAACATTGAAGTGGTCCTAAATAAACGTGCCCTGTGATGATTGACCAGGTCAGCTCTTAGTAGTCCGCATGTGACATCACCATTTGGAGTATGTGAATGCTAAGAAGTGTGGGAACTGGCACTGAGCAGGGAAATAGGAACAGGCCTGACCTTTGTCGCAAAGATCAACATAGATTGGGTTCTAAGAGGTGAGGAACTGGGCAGAGCTGCTAGAGCTCCCCTGCCCCCACTTCCATCACCTTGGTTCACCAGCTTGTCCTGTAAGAGAACTCACGATGAAGCCATCTGACAGTATGCTATGGGCTCGCCTCTCACCACAGAGCTCAGCCTTCTTTCCCGGGTGTGACCTGAACTTCCACCACTGAGGCAGACCAGGAGCCGAGCTGAAGAAGGGTACAGAGTAAACAGCAGGTGTTTCCTCAACCCCAGCTTGACCTCAAGAAACCTTGCCGTGCTGCCATTATTATCCTGACATCATCTTTAAACCAAAATATCCCATGAAATCTTCTTAAAAGCAAATAATAGTTTAAATTAACTATTAAAAACTTATGTAATTCTTAGTGAAGACTTAAAGGATGGCTCCACTGTCAGTGAGTCAATTCTGACTCAACAGCAACCCTACAGGACAGGGCAGAACTGCCCTTTGAGTTTCTGAGGCTAATTCTTCATGGGAGTCAAAAGCCATCTGTTTCCAAAGGAGCTGCGGGTGGTTTTGGAAAATGGACCTTTCTGTTAGCAGCCCAACTTGTAAACATGATACCACCAGTGCTCCTTTCAAAGGACTAGCTATTTCAAATAAAACTCACAGCAGTAACTTGCAAGTTAAGATATGAACCTTCTCAGTGGACCTCCCTCTTGACATGACCTGAATGGGCGCTAAGCTCATGTGTTCCTTACATGTTCCATGACTGAAATTTGTTCTGTGGCCAATTTAATATTGTTGGTGGTCTTCTACTTTCGTTTCTTTTTTTAAAAAATAAATCATTTTACTGGGGCTTCTTACAGCTCTTATAACAATCCATACATTAATTATATCAAGCACATTTGTACATATTTATGCTTCAAACTCCCCCTTCCACAGGTGATCATCGCTGGTAAACATCTTGTACCCCAATAAACACCATAACGTGTGCTTTCAGCGGAACCAATCTGGGACCACATTTCTTTTCTTTTCTTTTTTAAATTAATCATTTTGTTGGGGGGTTCTTACAACTCTCATAACAATCCAAACACCCATTGTATCAAGCATATTTGTATGTAGGTTGTCATCATCCTTTTGAAAATATTTTTTTCTGCTTGAGCCCTTGGTATCAGCTCCTCATTTTTTTGCCCCCACCCCACCCTCTCAACCTCATGAACCCTTGATAATTATAAATAATTATGATTTTCATATTTTACACCATCCACTATCTCCCTTCACCCATGTTTCTATTGTTTGTCACCCCAGGTGGGGTTGTTATACGTTGATAATTGTGATAGTTTCCTCCTTTCTCCCACCACCTTCCTTCTACCCTCATGGTATTGCTACTGCCATTATTGTTCCTGAGGGGCTTATCTGTCCTGGATTCTGTGTGTTGAGAGCTCTTATCTCTACCAGTGTGCATGCTCCGGTTTAGCTGCATTTGTAAAGTAAACCTGGGTTCATGATAGTGAGGGGGGCAGGGAGCGAGAAAACATTAAAAAACTAGAGAAATGTTGCATGTTTTCCAGGTGCTATACTGCACCCCGGATGGCTCATCTCTTCCTAGTGACCCTTCCTTGAGGATGTCCAATTGTCTAAGATGGGCTTTGGGTCTCCACTTTACTCCGCCTCATAGGTATCAATATGATAATATGTTTTGGGTCTTCTGACACCTGATACCAGATCCTGTCGACACCTCATGATAGTGTGTTTCTTCAATGTGGGCTTTATTGCTTCCCGGACAGATGGCCACTTGTTTATCCTCAAGCTTTTAAAACTCCAGCTTCTGTATCTTTTAGTAGCCGGGTACCATCAGCTTTCTTCACCACATTTGCTTATGCACCCATTTTTGTCTTCAGTGATCATTTTGAGAAGGTGAGCATCACAGAATGCCAGGTTATTAGCACAAAGTGTTTTTGCATTGAAAAAGGACTTGAGTAGAGGCCCATTGTCTGTCTGCTACTTTAACACTTAATATACAAATATATGTAGAGAGATCTCTGCCCCTTTCATTATATAAAAATATATTTACAAATGTATGTACCTACATTTGTCATACATTCATCTTATTTGATTTGTTGTGCACTGACATTATTTATGTTTCATTTTTTATAAATGCATGTGTGCTTTATCATCTTGCACACGATTTTCTCCTTTTTCATATTTTGTCACCCTTTCCTTTACTATCTTCATATCATGTTTTTGTGCTCTGGAATTTTATTCTTGAACTTTTTCCACCTACTTCTATACTTTCTCTTGGGGACAATTCCATCCATTCTTTTTCCTCCAACTGTTTTAAAGGAAACCTTCAGTCTTTGTCTCTACCTCCAACTCTAATTTAGCTCACCAAGTAGACTGTATTAAATGTCCAAGGAAAAATAAAATAAATCATCTGTCTTCTTGCTCCTACCCTCCCACATATTTAGCAGGATTTAGTTCCTGCTGTTTAAAAAAAAACAACAAAAAAAACCATCCTAAGCATCTTAAAATTTCCAGACCCTCAAAATGGTGCAAGTAAATAAGCAGGGCTTGGTGAGCTGTGCTTTGTCTTTGACAACAGTGAGCGAAGCCAGAATGTACCAAATTAACAGGAAAATCTTGAGCCCCAAGTTGGAAGCCATCAGTTCTTTCTCCAGCTTCTCTCCACTCATCTGATTGTATTTGCATCATTTGCCTTTCTCTACAGACACTTGCTTTTCAGTCCATGGATCAGGTGGAGAGTTTCCAGCTTCTGGATGGTTATGTTCAGACCAAGCCTTATTGAAAATGACCCACACATTCTCTGACTCGGTTCCAAATTCCTTCATCCACTCAGGACTCCTCAGTGGGGTCATCAGGAAAGAATGATGTTGTATAAATTGGGCTGCAAGAGTACACACACTTGACCCTCTGTTCTAGGGGAATTCTGAGAACATGATGATCTGTTGTGATTGGGAGGACTCTGAAGAGGAATCTGCTCCTTACCCTGGATTTCCTCAGTCATGACATGCTGTGCTTGTCCTGATAATATCAGTGTCCCTATACCTCCAAACCTCATCACAAAGAGACGATCCTTCACACCAAATGCTTTCAGGATTAAGAACAAGTGTTCCCCCAGTATCTCAGCTGTCAAGCACATCAGTCAGCCTATACAGTTGCCAAAACCCAAATCAATCTCACTGCCATTGAGTCAATTCTGATTCACCGAGTCTCATATACAGGCCATATGAGGCTGCACATCTTTACAGGAGCAGACTGCCTCATTGTCTTCCTGTGGAGTGAGTTAGTTGGTTTATTGTGCCAACCTGGCCGATAAACACATGGGGTTAATTGAAGGGCAGAGAGATAAATGGCTCAGTGAACCTTGCCTTTAGAATTCCCGGGGCTCTTGCTTTGTGATGGTCAGACCAAGGTGGAGCTGCCTTAGCCAGTTCCGTGCTTCAACTGACAAAGCTCATTTCCTGCAAGACATCCCTGAGGAGAAGCCACATGGACTTACCCTGATACATACAGCCCTGGGTGCTGGAGCAGCCGTGTGGAGACCCCTGCAGTACTGAGATGCTTACACATTCACTGACTCAGCTTTTCTCCTGCAGTCGCCATCATTGTGTCTGTTTTGTGAGATGGAGGAGGACTTTCTGGATTGGTGTCAGACATATGGGTTAATGGTGGATTTCTGGGTTTGGGGAGCACCGGGTTTGGATGTTTACTTTGATGTGCACTTAACCTTTATATAAAACTCTCTCTTATTCATGAGTTTCTGTGGACTTGTTTCTCCAAAATATCCAGACTAACACAGCAGTCCAACACTTACTGAAAATGCCACTCTTAAGCAGGTGACTAGACCTGAACAAAAGCAAAACAGGTTTACATTTACAACATGCAATCCCCAAATTTCTGAGCTAGGAAAAATATTGATAAATAGAATTTCCAAGTCCATAGACCTAAGGCCCAATCAACAAAGTGATGATATTTGATGTTCTATCTAGGGGATTCTCTTTGTAAATTACCTTAACAAAAAAGATGGTCTCATCTACAAGTTCTGACTTAGGAGTTGCGCAATATTCATTGTCTTCAGAGCCTGGTCTAAAGGGGCCCCAAAGCAGGTGAGACAATTATTGGCTTCTTGTGTCTAATGAGGCTCTCAGGTGTCTTATCTGGCACCAGTGACCATAAAGACTCCTATAAATGCCAACTCTGTGATTTTCTGCAAACAACTTTCCTGCACAGAGGACTAAAACCATGAACGCCTGCTCCTCACTTGCTCAGGACTTTTATTTCTAAGAGTTTTTATTGTTTTCTGTGGTCTTTATTCATAGTAGAGTGTATCTCAGAGGTGTTATATCCATGGAGGTCAACCTCTTGAAACTGTGTTATATGCTTTTTCACTTTTTTGGTATATCAAACCCAGGATTGATGCATCTATAGGGACAACAAGTATAATAATGGTTTGGGGAGGAGGTACAGTGGGAGGGGGACGATGTCATGGAGTCCATGTAGAAAATGAGTGTTTGGAAATTGATTCTGATAGCAATTATACATTCTACTTGATGTGATTGAAATATAGAATGATATGATATATGTGTTACATCCCAACTAACAAAAAAGGAGAGGAAGAAGCACTGATGAGTCCTGCAGAAATGAAGGGCATCTGATAACCATGGAATCTACCTCTGCCAGGTAAGGTTACAAGAGAGGATGCATCAATGTTTTCTGTTTAAGATAGTGAACTTCTTTTACATTCAGGGAGCAATAACAAGAGTGTTGAATAAGCTGAACTTTGAGATAAACCAAGAAATACTTGTCTCTCTCTCTTTCTCTCCCATGAGATACAAAGGAATTAGGGTTGGGGTTTTTTAAAAACTGTAAACGGAGATAAATGTGGTCACTGAGTTGGGCTATGGATAATTTTGTATGATTTTCAATTTTATACAACAAGAGTCCAGTAGGAATAGGATCACGAATGACTGTGGAAAAGTGAGAGCACAGGTGGAGTGGACAGATCTCTTTTTTTTTTTTTTGTCAATTCCATTACTGATATACAAACTTGCCTTAGTTGGGAATTGACTTTGTCCCGATTTTAATCACTCCTCTCTAGGTGCCTGAACTGGTTGTTGTGCATTCACCCGATTCCATGGTCATGAGTTGGACAAACCAGTCCAGTGTCTCTGAGTTCCTCCTCCTGGGCCTCTCCAGGCAGCCCCAGCAGCAACAGATCCTCTTCATGCTCTTCCTGAGCATGTACCTGGCCACGGTCCTGGGCAACCTGCTCATCATCCTGGCCATCAGCACAGACTCCTGCCTGCACACCCCCATGTACTTCTTCCTCAGCAACCTGTCCTTCGTGGACCTCTGCTTCTCCTCCACCATCGTGCCCAATATGCTGTCCAATCACATACTCAGCAGTCAGACCATCTCTTTCCCTGGGTGTCTCACACAGATGTATTTTTTCATTGTGTTTATTGCCATGGACAACTTCCTTCTGGCTGTGATGGCCTATGATCGCTTTGTTGCCATATGCCACCCTTTACACTATACAACTAAGATGACCCATCAGCTCTGTGCCCTGATGGTCACTGGGTCTTGGGGCATTGCCAATGGGAATGCTCTGTTGCATACTCTACTGATGGCTCGACTCTCATTCTGTGCAGACAATAGGATCCCCCACTTCTTCTGTGATGTGACTGCTCTCTTGAAACTCTCCTGCTCTGACACACATCTTAATGAGATGATGATTCTTAATGAGGCAGATCTGATAGTGATCATCCCATTGGTTTGCATCCTGGTTTCCTACATTTGCATCACCTGTGCTGTCATGAGAGTCCCATCCACAAAGGGAAAGTGGAAAGCCTTTTGCACGTGTGGCTCCCACCTGGCTGTGGTTTCCCTCTTCTATGGCACCATCATTGCTGTGTATTTCAGCCCGTCATCCACCCACTCAGCTGAGAATGACATTGCAGCTGCTGTGATGTACACAGTGGTGACTCCCATGCTGAACCCTTTCATCTACAGCCTCAGGAACAAGGACATGAAAGAGGCCCTCATAAAAGTAATTTATATTAATTTTTTTTCTTTTCAGCACTGAATAGCTTCTAAATGTCATAAAGGAATGTCATAGAGTGTAATAAAACCTTTTTATTCTTTTCCTATGCTCTGGAACTTATCAGTTGTCCATCCACACATTTGTCAAGGAAGAATAAGAGTCAGTGTTTCTCACAGTGGGTGATATTGCCCGCTGAGATTTCTGGAATGATCCAGGGGATTGTAAAAGCAGATTCTTGGTGTTTACTGTGTATTCTGGGATATTGCACAAAAATGTTTCATTGTCAGGGGGCCATTGAGTAATGTTTTTTTAGTTTAGTTTAATTTTCTGAAAAGAAAGCAGTAGGCCAAATAAATTTAGGAACCTATGGAAGTGCAAGAGGTGAAGACAAATCCTTTTTACCAACTAATGTGACTAGTCCAACTGCCAATGCCCTCCAGCCCAAATCACCAGGACCACACAACTAGCTCACTGTGCTTATTGCTCTTTTCATCAGGAAAGACTGCATTTATCGAGGAACTTCCCAGTCTAAGGGTGTTAGAACGGTCTTCCGGAATTTGAGCGCTAGCTGATTTTGGTGAGGGTTGTTGTGATCTGGAGTTGATGTTGTTAGAAATTATTGGCAATTCTCATTGGGCATAGCAATAGCTTCTCTAGAAAGCGGAAATACTACAGAGAAGTGAAAGTAAGGAGTTAAATTGTCACTCCTTTCAGTCAGTATGGGTGATGCTTTGTCATTTCTGTAGCTTGAGTAATGCTTATGCTTTGTCTATGTACAGCTATAACTGTAGTGATCTATTTTGTTATTGTTGTTTTAAATCCCCTATGGTCACTTGTGTGATGTCCTATATAGTTTTCTTTGTTAAACAGAGAAGAGTTCATTGAAAGCCCTGTTGTAGTTATTAGGTCCTCTCACTACAATTCATAGTGACCCCCTGCACAAGAGAACAAAACACTGCCTGGTCTTATGTCACCCTCACAATTGTTATCTTTGAGTCCCTTGTTGCAGCCACTGTGTCAATCCATCTCCTTGATGGTCTTCCTTTTTTTAACTGTCCTTTGACTTTAGCAAGCCTGGTATCCTTCTCCAGGGAATGGGCTTTACTGTTAACAAGTTCAAAGTACATGAGACAAAGTCTCTCCATTTTAGCTTCTAGGGAGCATTCAGAGTATACTTTTTCCAAGACAGATTTGTTTGTTCTTCTGGCCATCCATGGTATATTTAGTACGATTTTCCAACACTATAATTCAAATGTATCGATTTTTCTCTGGTCTTCCTTGTTCATTGTACACCTTTCATCTATGAGGTTAGTTGCTGATTTCTTCACTGCTGCTTCTATGAGTGTTGATAATAGATCCAAGTAAAATTAAACCTTGAAACCTGGAATATTTTCTCTGTTTATCACAGTGCTGTCTTTTGGTCTAGTTTGAGGGGAAAATCATCAAATGGGATATATATATATACACACACACAGTAGTAATCTATACTGAAGGCTGTAGTCTGTGATTTTTATTAATGAGTACTTCAGGTTGCCTTGGCTTTTAGCATGCAAGGTTGTGTCATCTGCAAATTACAGTTGTTAAAGAGGCTTCTGTCCATCCTGATGTTGTATACCTCTTCATAGTCCAGTTTCTCAGTTTGTTTGGTCAGCAAACAGATGGAGTAAATATGGTGACATGGTATTGCCCTGGTGCATACTTTTCCTGATTTAATATTGGGCCTATTATTTATTTACCTTTTTACCTGAGTTTTTGTATCATACCCATTTTAGCAGGAGCATGGGTAATTTAAACAAGAAAGAATTATCTTCCTTAATTGCAGTGTGCAGGCTTGCTTCCTTCAGTGTTTTCTTGCATTCTTTCCTGTGTGCTCAAAATATCCTGGTGGTGTAGTGGTTATGCATTGGACTGCAGCCACCATGTTGGTAGTTCAAAACCACCTGGGGCTCCAGAGGAGAAAGCCCAGGCTTACTTCTTCCATAAAGGGTTACAGTCTTGGAAAACACAGGGATAATTCTGCCCTGTCCTATAGTCCAAGCGAGGCAGGCCATATTGAGTTGAGCAGAACCTGACCAGATGAAGAGAAGATTGTTGAGCCTGTGAATGGGTGCATATGGCTGCTGACTTCATGAATGACCTGTCCTGATTTGACTTTGCTTATGGATGCGGACCCCCAAGGTTCTAAATGGAATGAAGGTTCTTCACATCAAAGAATATGTTTGTCTCCTCAGAGCACTGGATTGATTTAAACGGGCAATATAGACCTTGGTTACCCAAAATGGGAGGATAACGGCATGATGTGGCTGGCTTACAAACTTTCATGGAAAGGGGAATATGTTCATAGGATTGTAGGATTATGGTGTAGGTGTTCACTTAATGGCAATTATTAGACATTGAATATTGTGTTTTGTTCACTTAAAGAATTTTATGTTTAAGTGAAGCTGGCACATTTTGAGTTGCTTACATTTTAGTTTAAACTTGTTAGGCACAAATATGACTTTACTATTGTCCTGGGTTTAAAAATTATACATGACTAAAGAATTGTGTACACTGGTACAAATAGGAGCTGAAAACACAGGGAATCCAGGACCGATAAACTCCTCAGGACCAATAATGACAATAGTATTACCAGGAAGGGAAGGGGAATGTGGGGGGGGCGGGAGGGGAGAACTGAGCATAATAATCTACATATAATCCCCTCCCAGTGGAGTGGACAACAGAAAAGTGGGTGAAGGGAGACATCGGTCAGTGTACAACATAAAAAATAACAATAATTTATGTTATCAAGGGTTCGTGAGGGAAGGAGGAAAAAATGAGGAGCTGATACCAAGGGCTCAAGTAGAAAAAAATGTTTTGAAATTGATGATGGCAACAAATGCACAAATGTGCTTGACACAATGGATGAAGGTATGGATTGTGATAAGAGCTGTAAAAGCCCCCAATAAAAACAACAATAAAAATGAATTCTGTCCAAGTGCCAAGTTGGCAAGGGGTGAACTGTGTGTGTGTGTGTGTGTGTGCGCGCGCGCGCGCCAAGATGGTTCCTGTAGGAACATATGGGTGAACTTTAGCCTGTCAATCAGCTCACAGCTTGATTGGATTTCTAGAAGCTGGCCTTTCTCTCTGTCTCTGCTTCCACCTTCCAGTGGACAAGCCCCATGGGGCCACTCTGAGACTTGTGAGAGCCCTGGACACACAAGACTTTGCACCCACTGGCCTGTGATCTTCTTGCATTTTGCGTCATTTTATGTGCTGTGTTATTCTGAAGAGGAATTTATGGACTAATATTGGGTTTATGGCTAATATCAGATTATGAACTTGATCTGGACTGGGTTGTTTTCTTAATATACAATGACTCTTATCTAAAGCTCTTTTACACACATATGCCTGTCTCTGAATTTGGAGGAGGAAAGAGGTAAACAGAGCAGCTTCCCATACTTTCATTTCAGAGAGATGACATGTTTTGTGAAAAGTGGCAGAATTCAGAATCAGAGGCTGTTTCTGAGTTTAATGCATGATCTTTTAAAATTTTTATTAGATTTGTGTATTAAAAAGTTTGCCTTGAAGAGTACATGGGATCTTTTTCATTATTCAGTCTATATTTCCTCAAATTCTTCGTATAACAGAAAATGTTCGTTTCTTAAAAGTTTGCAAGAAACCTACCGCTTTTGCTTTGTATAAAAGGGCTTCAAAATGTCGATGCAAATGGAAAAACATCGTGAAAAATCCCACAAACTACCTGAAGCTCCACAGTATGTGGTTATGTAGATAAGGGTGAGTATGAAAGAAGGTGAGGTTTTAAATGCCCTTCTCCATTGATGTCATTGTTTGGTTCGCTCAAGTAGATTCTGATTTGTACTCACTTCTGAGAAACATTCTGGCTGTACTTCTTCCATGATAGATTTGTTCCTTCTATTCGAGTCTGTGGAATAACCCCCCTCAATTGGTATGACTTATTACAATTTCTTTCATCCATATCATTTTCTGAGGGTCTCATATTTTAACAGAATAGCATCTACTTCATTAGATTTTCATTTAATTGTCTTAATATGTGTAATTATGCAAGCATAACTTCAATATAAATTAAAAGGTAATATTCATTTTATTACTATACATTTCCAACTTTATTATAATAATAATTATTTTATTTATATTGGTGATCAGATTTGGTAGAGTCTGATACCATTTATTCTTATGAGCCAATGCTTGGGTCCATTAATGAATTCTGACTCTAAAAACTATTCCTTTTATCTGAGTTTTTTGGTCTTCTTTCCCCTGTGAATGTATATTTTCTGTATTATTCTCTAATTTAGCATTAATGCATGACATAAAGACATGGCAATGGGTAGACAACATGGTGAATGCAATTAGTGTCACTGATTTCTGTGTGCTATAAATAAATGTAGAGTGTAGGGAAATGATGTGCACTGACTACAATACAAATATCTCCTAAGACAGTCTAATAAATTCTGGTAAAGATAGCGACCTACAAGACCATACTACACAATCCTACTTCAACCGTGAGAAAACAAATATAGGAGAAAAATCTGAAGCCTTGAATCTCTGAAGGAAAAAAATTAAAAGCTAAAATGAGCAGAATATCAACAGCACAAGAAGCTATTGTAGCGGGATGAGCCAGTCCGGGTATAAAGAGGCTCTCCAGCGCACATTTGCATGCGCAGCTGCAGCTTCAAAATCTTTCTCTGCATGAGTGGAGCTGGTAAAAGTTACCAGTGCCCTGCACCTTGCTGGGCAGCTTTAGAACTTTGTTTGAAACTGGCAGAACAGTAAATCAAAAGCCAAACTCACTACCATTGCGTTGATTCAGACTCATAGTGATCCTTTAAGACAGGGTAAAACTGCCCCTGTGGGTTTCTGAAACTGTAAGTCTACCGGAATAGAAAGGCTGGTCTTTCACTTGTGGGATAGCTAGTAGTTTTGAACAACCAACCTTGTGGTTAGCAGCTCAATACATAACCCCATACACCACCAGGGTTTCTGGCAAAGCAATGGAGCACTCAAAAGTCAAAAGAGAGAGAAAAGAGCAAATGATGGAAGGGTTTCAGTAGATTGGAACCTTCATACACTGCAGGAGGGACTGTAAAATTGTACAACCACGTTGGAAAGTGATATGACACTTCCTCAAACAATTGGAATAAAAAAGCCCGCATGACCCAGCAATACCAATACTTGGTATATAACCCACAAAAGTAAAGAGCATAGCACAAACAAATGTGTGCACATTCATGTTCATCACTGCACTGTTCACAATAGCAAGAAGACAGAAACAAACCTGAATGCGTATCTGTGGAAGAATTGATAGCTAAACTTTGGTACCTACACTTTGCATCGTTAAAGAAGAATGATGGAACTTGAAACACCTCATGACATGGATGAATTTGAAGGACATAATGCTGAGTGACGTAGGTCAAACACAAAAGAATAAATATTGTATAAGACTACTGTCATTTATTTTTTTAAATTCAAGAAAAGGTTTTCTTACAAAATGAAAGAGTTGGGTGGGTATGGAAGTGGGGAGGGAGTAATAGGCTCGAGGGAAG